ACCTCAGAGCGGAAGTTGGGGCACTCCAGGCCACAGTAACTGAGCAAGCAACCACCAAACGCCAGCTTCAAGCAGAAATGAACGACGCAGATAAGCAGCGTCGTCTAACAAATTTGGAAATTCAAGGTTTGCCATCAACCCCAAAGGAAAATCTCGGCGAGACTCTATGTGACCTGGCCTCCAAGATTGGCATCTCGCACTTCAAGCATTCGGATGTTGTCTCTGCTCGACGTCTGCCATCCAAAAAGGGAGAAAAACCTGACAATGCCCCGTTAATCCTGGTGAGCTTTGCGTCGGTTGCTCTGAAGTAGCAGTGGATGGGGTGTCGTGGCCGACTGCGGAGCCTCCACCGTGTCGGCACTCTTCCCAATGTGTTCCTGAATGAAAACCTCACAATTGCCAACCGCGAGTTGTTTTGGATGGCTAGAAACAGGGGGAAAGAGAAGGAATACAAATTCATCTGGACAAAAACCGCTCAAATCTATGCAAAGAAAAATGCAGACTCAGCTCCCTTACGGATTAATTCTGTAGGGGATATCGCCAAGACTGTGTAAGGTATGAGCAGTAACTTTTCGCAGTTTAGTAGTTCTCAAGCATTTAAGTCACTAATAGACAAACCAGAGGGGAAAAGTTTTATTTGCTTACGTGTCAACATCCGGAGCATCCGTAAGCACTGGGATCATTTTCGAGTAATTGTTCGCAATGTAATGTTTCATGTCGACGCATTTATTTTTACAGAAATTATTCTCCCCGAATCTATGCTTGGTCAGCATACCCTCGAAGATTACAACCAATTTTTTTCAATACGACCTACACGCAGAGGTGGTGGCATCGCTGCTTTTATCCATCAAAGGTGGCAAGTTTCTCCCCTTGATTTAGTTTTTTCTCATACTGAACCCCTTCCACTCAAACTTGAAAATAACACTTTTTCGCTATCCGTTCTTTGTTTCTACAGGCCACCTTCAGAAAATGCTAGAATGTTTCTAGATGAGCTAGACCTAACTCTCCCCTCTTTATCCTCCATGCAACACCTCTGCATTATAGGCGACCTTAATATAGACGTATTGAAGACAACGACACCAATCGCATGTGACTACTTAAATATTTTATCGAACTTTGGATTGGAATGCGTTATTGACGCACCCCACTCGGGAAGAATTTCTAGGAACAAACCTCGTCTCTACTTGTATTGACCACATTTGCATACGGGCACCAAGCGATCGTGTTGACAGCGCTGTAATTCTTGAAAAGTTGGCGGACCACTACTTTGTTTCCTATCGGATAACACACACTTCTACCTCTGAACCTTAGTCTAACATTATCAGAGAGGTCCAGATTATCATTGTCTCTTTCGACAAAGCTGTTGCCTCTCATAACTGGGATGGCTTTTTGGGCTCCGCTAATGGCGTTGAACTGTATACAGAATTTGTATAGGTTTTTAACTCCTTCACTGAAGCTGCCAAACGAACTGTTACCTTAAAAAAGCGCAGACCCCATCACGAATGGTTGACTTGGGATATCCTTAAGAAAATTAAAGAAAAAAACGTTTTTTGGAGCCGATGTCGGAAGTCTCCTAATAATGCAAATTTGCAAATTGAATTTCGGCAGGTCAGAAATTGCGTCACCGCTGTCATTCGTTCTGCAAAGCGACGATAATTTAAATCAAAGTTTGAAGAATACAAGCTTAACTTGGCCAAAACATGGTCACTGATTAACCAATTTCGAGGTACTGGGGCTAAACAATTTATCGACCAAACTCTTGAAAATAATTTTGGTTCACTCAACTCGTCATTAGCAGATGAATTTAATGCCTTCTTTGGTAAATATACTGGTGTGACTCGAGCCGCTGTTGACAAACGATGTACTCTGGCTGATACATCCCTAGCGTCAGCTTTTCTTCCTCCGTTAACTGACGCAGAGCTTTACTCCCTTTTGTTTAGTTTCAAAGCCAACACGTCACCCGGTGCTGATGGTATTCGCACAAATGATCTTCAACGGAATTTCGCTAAGATTAAGAAGGTTCTCCTAGTTATGTTGAATGACTTCATTACGAGTGGTAAAATACCTGATGGTCTTAAGGTTGCCATTGCACGACCTCTCTTAAAAAAGGGGTCGCGAACGAAAATTTAAAATTATCGTCCTATTTCAATTTTATCAATCTTAGAGCAAATGCTTGAAGAACACCTTCTTCAGTCGATGAACGGCTTTATAGATAAACATCACATTATTTCACCTACCCAATATGGTTTCGTGGCTGGGAGAGGCACCCAACCGGCTCTTGACGATTTCTCAGATTACCTCTACTCAACGTTTGATAATAATATGTTCGCTTGTGCGCTCTTCCTGGATGTACCTAAAACCTTTGACACTGTCAGTCATCAATTACTACTAAAAGAATTGCAACGCTTAGGTTTTCGGGGTCCGTTTTATTCTTTACTAGAGAATTTTCTAACTAATTGTTCTCAGTTTGTCTTAACTGGGAAATTTAGAAGCTCACTCCTTTCTTTAAAAGCGGGGGTATCTCAAGGATCTGTTCTTTCACTTCTGCTCTTTAATATCTTTGTCAATGATATGTCTCGCGCTATCAATGGCTGCAAGATCTATCAATACGCTGATGACACCCTCCTTACTTCGCGTCATATTAATTTCCCTTTTGCAGTCAACATTCTCCAGACGAATGCCACCCATCTAATGGACTGGTTTGCGGATAACCTTCTTGACATCAACAGCTCCAAAACAAAGCTTGTTTGCTCCCGCAACCCCTTAAAAGACACCAAGCTACTCTCAGGTTTATTTTCCACTCCTCATGCTGCCACCCGTGTAACTGTGACGCGATCAAGTCTGTTAACAACGTGAAATATTTGGGTGTTCATTTTGATTTCGACATGTCCTGGAACACTCATATATCCTACTTATGCGGTAAACTACGAACTATATCTTGTATGCTCTATAACACAGGGATGTTTATGCCCGTCATTGTTCGGTTTTTGTTAGTCCACGCGCTTGTTTACAGTGTGCTACGGTACGGAATCACAGTGTTTGGTATCTGTTCAGGTCGCTGGCAGGCAAAAGTTAACACTTTATTAAGAGGCATACTGAAGAACATCCTCTACAATACGCCTCTTTCTGCCACTGCCGACATTTTGAAAGCCTTCAACTGCCGAATTTCCGCTCACTTTTTATTGAGACAGTCCTCCTTCGCAATTTTTGGAGCAGTGATTACAAGACACCGCTACATTCGTCCCGCACATTACGCAGCTCTCCTCGTTTTGTAGTGCCACGTTGTTGCACCTGGTATGGTAAATCCTCGCGCGAATCTTATGTGCCACGTGTCTTCAACGAATTCCCGGACTATATTTATGATATCACATCACTGAAAACTCTAAAAAAAGAACTCAAGTGTCTTAACCTTGATAGTATTTAGTGCCTGCTCCGTGTGCCTTCATGACGATCCTGATGTGCTGGTTGCTATAGCTACCGCAGATTCGAAATGTTGCCTCTACTTTTCCTATTTTATTTTTCGTTCTCCGTGCATTGTGTTACACTTTATTTGGGACTCGCGTCTGTAAGTATTAACTCTATTTACGTTGTTACATTCATTTGTACATTGCTTTCGTATGCTGTATTTTTTTCGTAATTAGTACTCCGTGCTACAATCGGGAAAGGGGCAGGGGGGGAAGGGGGTTGGGTGGGGAAAGTTTTATTATCTTTCAGTTCTCATTTTGAAGGCAATGCCTTTACCTTATCACTTAAGTGGACTTTTCTAATTTTTTTAGGGTGTCATCTCACAAGGCCTTCGCTGGCTTTGATGTGCCCGCAAACATATTTCTCTTTAATAGTCCCACTGAGTCAATATAATTCATTCATTTCATTTATTGATACTGTCAGCCCTTGCACAGGGCTATTACAGGGGTGGAGAAAAAAAAGGACAATAACAAACAAACATGTACGCTTACACGCAAGCATACACAAAGGTTACAGACATATTGAGAGGCTTCGTCATTTCGGCAGTTTACGAAACGAATATCACTTCGTAGTTGTGAAACATTTCTTTACACATGCTGTAGTGGTTTTAGTTTGTAGCACATACAATAATATCACTGACACGGTCCAGAAATTCATTTAGCGACATAGATGACACAGCAGAATCAGGTAATATATTCCAATCTTTAATAGCCCTCGGACAAAAACTGTACTTAAAGCAATCGTTTTTAACAGATGGATTAGGAATGTACATGCTATGACGATGTCTTGAGGATTCGGTGGAGGAAATTTCAAAGTACTCGGATTTCCTTATTTTTACGCAATTATGAATAATCTGAAAAAGAAACTTTAACCTTTCATACTTCGTTCTTGATTCAAATGTAGGAAGATTGGCAAGTTCACATAGTTTTGTGGGGGAATGAACGTGGCTGTATTTATTAAAAATAAACCTGGATGCGAGTCGCTGGATTTTCTCCAGCTTATTGCAATTTGTGACGGTATATGGGTCCCATACAATTTTAGAATACTCGATGACGGGTCTTACCAGTGTCTTATAAGCTAGACTTTTTATTTCAGGAGTTGCAATAGCGAGGTTTCGTCGAAGGCACCACAGTGCTTTATTAGCTTTGATGCATACGTTATCAATGTGAGTGTTCCATTTTAGATCAGGAGTAAATATTAAGCCTAAGTATTTATGTTCTTTAACTCTCTCCAACTCAGCACCCGCAATGCAATAATTATAAGCCAAAACATTTATTTTTCTCGTAATAGACATGAAGACAGATTTTTCAGGATTTAGCACCATTTGCCAATTTTGACACCACTTTTTAATTTTTTCTAAGTTACAGTTTAATTCGACTTGATCAGCCGATGTTTCAATTTTATTGTAAATCACACAGTCGTCGGCGAATAGTCTGATTGGAACCGAGATGTCATTGCGCAGATTGTTAATGTAAATCAAAAATAAAAGAGGACCCAAGACACTGCCCTGGGGTACGCCTGACACAACTGGGGACATAGTGGATTTGCTACCCCCAACTTTAACGTACTGTTTCCGTGATGAAAGATAAGAGGAAAACCACTTCGTGATGGCTGGATTCTTAAAAACAGCACTGATTTTCAATAGCAATTTGGGGTGAGATACTTTGTCGAACGCCTTTGCGAAATCTAGGAATATTACATCAGTTTGACCACGACAGTTTATCCTTTGAGAGAGATCATGAACAGTTTCTATGAGCTGGGTAGTCGTGGAAAGACCTCTGCGGAAACCATGCTGCGATTTAAATAATATGTCATATTTTTCAAGGTAAGCCAGTAGATGTTTAGATATGATATGTTCAAGGAGCTTTGAGCATGTACTAGTAAGGGAAATGGGGCGAAAGTTACAGACGTCATTAACACTACCGCTCTTGTGGATGGGAATAATTTTTGCTATTTTCCAAGCGCTGGGAAAAGAACCGCTACTCATAGACAATCTAAAGATGATAGTAAGGTATTTAGAAACCCACTCAGCATACCTTTTTAAAAATTCATTCGGAATTTCGTCTGGACCTGGGCTCTTTTTTGAGTCGATGTTAAGTAGAAGGTTAAAAACTCCTTGCTCACTTATATCTAAGTTATTGATGGGAGGATTGTTGGAAGAATCACTAAAGCTTGGCAAATTTCCATCATCGTTGGTGAAAACGGATGAAAAAAAAGTGCTAAAATTTTCAACGCTCTGCTTTTCATTTTTTGGGTCAGAGGCACGCTGCTGGAACTTAGCCGAAGGGTTGACGTACCGCCAGAACTTCTCAGGTGCCTCGCTAAGGAATTTTTTAAGTGTTATACTATAAAACCTTTCTTTAGACTCTCTAACTAGACGCCTCAGCTCCCGACTCAATCGCTGAATGCAAGTTTTTTTTTCTACACCTGTACCATGTGAACTCGCTCGTCTCCGCTTCAGTTGTCGTTTTGCGTGGATTATTTCCCTTGTAATCCAAGGATTTTTGTTCGCGATTTTTTTAGGGCGCTTTGGTATAAATCGCTCAATACACCGTAACGTCATGCTTGAAAAATAGTCCCATAACGTGTCTGGGCTAGCATCTGATTGGTAAAGAAACATAAAATCATCAAACGATTGTTCAAGGCAATCAAGTACGCTTACATCATCAGCACTTCTAAAATCCAAAAACATCTTTCTTGAATGACTGTGCGATTTTTCTGGGGTAACATTCAATGAGACGAGTACCATCCTATGATCGGATAGGCCTTCTTCGGTTTCACATTTCGAAAAATATGGTTTTAAACTCTCGGAAACAAAAACTAGATCTAAAATTGTTGACGTTGTTGAACATACTCTAGTGTAATCTGTTACCACCTGGGATAAGTTATAGCAAAATACAAGTTCTAATAATTGATCGCAACTAGCTACTTCCGCCGTTCCATGAGAATATGATGACCAGTCAATCCCAGGTAAATTAAGATCTCCCAGTAACAAAATGTTGTCTCCGTAACGTAAATTGGAATCCATGTAGCCCCTTAGTTTTAACAGCATTTCAACTGGCGAATTCGGGGCTCTGTACACGCCACCAATATAAACTGTACGGTTATTCAATTTTGTCTTGATCCATAATGCTTCTACATCCCGTACTTCCTCAAGGACTTCAAATTTGATGTTATTTTTAATCATAATAGCAACTCCGCCTCCCCTTCCCTCTCTATCTTTTCTTATTATTGAATAATTCGGTGGAGTAACTTCGGAGTTTAAGATATTTTCATGAAGCCATGTCTCGGTAATTACGGCCACTTCAGGATCGTGCTCTAGCATTATGCTTTCGAACGCGTCAACCTTGTTTGCAATACTTCTGGCGTTTATGTTTAATATTTTAAAACATGCTGAATCATTTTGTTTTAGTCACTCGTTATTTGCTTCCGGTGGAACGCGACACTTGTATCTCTCATTGCTGACTTCATTCCAGGCGTACAGAACATTGTTAAGCCACAGCTTATCAAAGACTAGATTGACTTTGGCACCGTTTTTCCTCTCCTCTGCGGTTGAATTCCACAGGTTCTTTCGAAGCTCAACAACCCTCTTGGAATAGTCTTCATTGATGCTAATTTGGGTACCTTTAAGTTTGACACAGTTTTTCATGATAGCCATTTTCTCTTTAAAATCCCCAACTGTAAGTATTACAGGGCGATCTCTACCAGTCATCTTTTTTCCAAGTCGATGTATACGTTGGATAGAGTTCAGTTTTTGACCTAGTATAGCGTCAAACACCTCATTGTTGATTTTCCTCATTTGTACATCCTCGTTTTCAGAAGACTCTTCCTTAATTCCCCTTACGATAACGTTATTTCGTCGTGAACGATTTTCTAAGTCATCAATTTGTTTTACAAGAGTATTTATTTCGACATCGTAGCCACTAACAGAGTTTTCAAGTTTAGCAAGCCTGTTCTCAGTTTCACCTACGCTCTCAAGTTTTTTTTCTATCGCAAGTAGCCTGTTTTGCATTTGTAGCATACTTTCTTCCGAAGAAGTCTGTTTTACTTGTACCTCAGTAATTTTAGCAAGGATCTCCTTTTGTGTCCGAATCATATCATTAAACATTTCTTGCGTAATAGGCCCAGGGTTTTCCTCCACATCTCCAGCTAGTATGAGCAACAGGCCTGCTACAGAGAAACAATCGCGTACACAAGCTGCAATTGTGTGTGGACACGGCAACACAATCAAACAGAGGTAATCGCTGTGAAAAACATGTTTTCTATCACCAACCTGCATGAGTAGTGGTACATTAGGCGACATCATCACGGCTGGGTTGCCGTGTCCACTGACGCCCGCAGCCGCTTGCGTTTCCTTTATAGGCAGTGGTGGCGCTGCTTCTTGAAGTTCTTCTGACGTCATCGTGCCCGTGAAGGGTGCGCTGTAGATGTTGGCCACGTGTAGCAACTGCAGATGAGCGATGTCAGCGCGATATCCGATAGGCGATGAAGACGACGTTTGGCCCGAAGCGATGAGTAGGCACCAAGTGCAAACCTGCATGAGTAGTGGTACATTAGGCGACATCATCACGGCTGGGTTGCCGTGTCCACTGACGCCCGCAGCCGCTTGCGTTTCCTTTATAGGCAGTGGTGGCGCTGCTTCTTGAAGTTCTTCTGACGTTATCGTGCCCGTGAAGGGTGCGCTGTAGATGTTGGCCACGTGTAGCAACTGCAGATGAGCGATGTCAGCGCGATATCCGATAGGCGATGAAGACGACGTTTGGCCCGAAGCGATGAGTAGGCACCAAGTGCAAACCTGCATGAGTAGTGGTACATTAGGCGACATCATCACGGCTGGGTTGCCGTGTCCACTGTATGTATGTATGTATGTATTTATTATTATTAATATTATTATTATGGAAGTAGTATGGTCGCACCCAACATGTGGTATAAGAGAGAGAACTATTTTAACAATCACTGATACAGTGCGAAGTGTCCTCGAGTGTTGCGTCGCCATGCATGCATGAGTCGGAACGCTGCACACCGACCTCGAAAAAGCCTTCGCTCGCGTACCTGTCGACTTTCGTCCAGAGATTCTTGGCCATGTTAGCGTGGGTACCGTTATCCGCGAGGGCGTACGCATGGCGTATAACGGTTGTGCGGCCAGCCCAATTGGAAGCACACCGCTACCGTGTTCCACGGACCGCGCTACCAGAGGCTTTGATGCATGCTTTTAAACGCGCTCCTGGGTGATACCGTGAACGCGATGCGCGCGCGCATAAGCATGCTTCAAAGGCTCCGGTACTGCGGTACGCGGAACACGGTAACGGTTTGCCAAAAGTCCCTATCAACAAATCAGTCGGAAAGCGTGTCCAAGTGAACCCTTCAGTTTGCCAAAGGTATCTCGTGTGTCCTCTTCTTTTTGTATTTTTCATTTTATATAGAATCGCATTTTTACAAATAATTGGATCAGCAGGTTTAAACTTCAAGCTGACAAGGTTCATTTTTTTATTTTGTACTGATGATACTGCAATGTTTTGTGCAACTCGCGAAATTACAGTCCATATTTGCAACATACTCCACCGTTTTTGTGAACTGAGCGGAAGCTCTGTCAACTGGCATTAGTGCCTAGGCTTTTGGCGCGTTGAATAATTGGGTTGTGTGTGTGTTTATACAGCCTAGAACTTGGTCTGCCTCACAGGGGCGACGAGTCTCCCAGCTGTAGATGAGAAATTTAGCCAGTGCGGTACAGCCGCTAGCCTGGGGTCTTTAACGTGCATCACGCAGTAGTGATACACGACCGCACGCCGGTACGATGCTCATCCAGATCGAAACGGGCAGGGGTGGGGCTCGAACCCAGGATCCCTGGGTTCTGCAGCGCGAGCTTTCGCTCCACGTGCTCCGAGCTGGTGTGCGCTAGACCACTCGGCCACCGATCCCCCTAACTCTGAGTAACGACAGTTCAGTAACCTTGGTGCTTCCAATTAAGGTTTCCAGTGATCTAGAGCCATGTCTGAAACCGCATGAAATGAATTTGTGCCCTCCAGAATTATTAAAACATTTCGTAAAAAGGGAAACTTGATATCGCTTTAGCTTCCTGGCTTCATGTGCCTAAAGCGGAGGAAGTTGCATTTTTGAATTCCGACAATTGCCAGTAGCTCCTGCTCTACAGTAAACGGCAAGATGGCAGCACCCACTAATGAATAGAGTGCAGATACTGTAAACGTAGATTATTCGGTGGCTCTTGGCGATACCACCGGAGCACAAGGCCTGCGCGTAGCCTTCCTTCCCTCCGCGTCATCTCTAGTAGATCCGCTCTGTACCACCTAGCTTGCGTTAGGATCGCCGCCAGCTCATTGTGCAGCATCTCACAAAGAGCGCGACGTCCAAACGGACGCAGCGTGTGTCCCGCTTGAGGTGGGGCGGAGAGCCACAAATAATGACGTAGAGCGCGGGCTGACGTCACCGGGTAAGACATAGTGGGGGAAAGGGCGCGTGTGAGGCTAGCTTCCGCTGCGTTAGCGAGGCGCTTCCGGGCACCAGAAACATGAAAGGACCTCACGTGCATGCCATAGATAGTCAGTAGCAGGTTAAAAGCGACCTGTTGCAAAACGTACAGCGCCACGAGGTCAGGAAATTTGGAGAGCCCTCGGTGCAGATCCCGCGCTTTCTCGCTGCACCTCCGCGAATGCGCTTGAGCCGCTGCAGCTACCGCCAGCAGCCGTCGCAGCCATCCAGCATCTGGCCGATCGGCCAATCCACCGGAAACTCGTACGTCGTTGGCGGAGTACCGTATTTGTAAACGCATCGCGGAACTATTCACTCATTTGAATGCGTTATTCGTCGTTCGTAACTAACATTCACGACTTCCAGCTTCACCGAATCCACTTATTTTGCACCGCAACCGACTATATTCGACGAAACCTTGGTGCAGCAGACGACGGAACCGGTACAACTCAGAGGGATGAGAAAGGGGTCACCTCACAAGACAGCCAAAGCAATATTCTCTCTCCCATTTGCGTGCCCTCGTCGCTCCTCCGATTTGGCTGCTCGTACGTTGTTGCTTTGGTAACCTTCGCCTGCTCACGTGTGTTACGTGGTAGCCGGAGGAAACACGATGGGAGGTGGAATACCGAGGACTCCCAATATTCATAGCCCGGCGCGCGCGGGCTTTAGGGAGTTTCGCGACAATTATATTCAAAGCTCTTGCCACCTCTTCCCACTTTCACAGAGCGAACTCAGGAAATACGCCCCCCCCCCCCTCCCCTCGTATCTTGTCCCTGGGATTCGTTAAAAAAGAAGATCCTTCTTTTTGCCAGGTTAAATACTTGTTTGCAGGCCGACATTTCAATCTCTGCTTCGCAAAACAATATACCTACCGCCCCTTCAGCTTGTGCCTTTGCTACTCCCGAACAGGTAGCTCCAAAAGGTCGTGGTGCCTTGGAAACCTGGATGAAGAGCCCTTTCCGCAACACCGGGACGCCCAGGGATGGCAAGACAGACCAGCCCAGAGAGCGCCGCAGGTAGGGCCTCTAAGCCGCACTCCCACTGTTCGTGCATCATTCAAAGACAATCGATTCGCCGCAGACATGATAGCAGAATTACTGACGGGCACGCCCAAGCACGTTCCTGTAGACCGTTTTACTGGAAGAGGGCGGGAGGGGGGAGACGAAATGGCTACCGGCGCTTTCCCCCTTGCTGGTGCGTTAAGAAGAGTCTCGGATGAGAGGCTTCGCCGGTGTTGGATGTATGCATTGTCCGAACTTCGTTAGCGCTTTCATCTCCCTTTCAAACCCCTAAACTTAATTAAAGCCACAGGCTTAAATGGCGACAGTCCCCCGGTCATCGGGACGCCATTGTTTGGCTATAGAGTGCACGAATAATGACAGAGTGCGTCGAATACTGTCCGAGGACCTGTGTGGCTTCCACGGAATCCAGCAAGTGCGGCTGGAATGTCTTTAAGCTCCATCGTTTTCCACATGACCCAGATCTCCGGCGGCAGTGGGCTGCGTCCGCAAACCGAAAATACTTTTCCGCAAAAACATACTCGCGACTGTGCTCGGAACGTCTTATGAGTGGATTGCGCACCGAACTTAACGCTGTACAGTCTATGAACATGGGATACGCTCGCCAGGTGCGTGGTGACACGGACTCGACTCAGTGACACGGAATCGATTTTATTATCTGCAACACTTAGTTGAAGGCTCATTTCCGGCGCCGGGTGTGGGTGGAAATTGTTAAAAAGTTAGTTCTATCAGTTTTCCTGAATTGCGATCTTTTGCACGATTCCAGAGAGCCGTGAACCTTGGTTGACCGTCACGACGCGACTAGATTTTTGTTATTTTCAAAATTAGTACATGATGCAGCCGGAAAGAAACCTTCCATTTCTGTTGCCTAAAGTTGACACAGGCTCATGCACCGATTTCGAATCCTTGAATCATTGATCGACTCGCTTCTGCAATAAGCCCATCTGGACTTCGCCGTTTTCAGCTTACGACAACAAACACACTCGTCGACACGTGTGGACGCCGGCTTCCGGATTCCATGCGAGCTACATGGGTCCTTGGACAGTATTCGACGCTTTCTGTCGTTATTCGTTCACCCTATATCCGAGCAATCGTTTCCCGATGACCGGGGGCTGTCGCCATTTAATCCCGCGGCTCTATTTAAGTTGGGAGTTTCAAACGGAGAAGAGAGCGCGAACGAATTTCGGGCAATGCATACACCCTACACACGCGAAGCCTCCCTCCTGCGACTTTCACTCTTTCAACGCACCAGCAAGGGGGAAATCCCTGGTAGCCATTTCCCGTCTTCTCTGTCGCCATCCCAATGGTGCTACCCACTATAAAACGGTCTTCATAGAATGTTTGCTTTATATGGGCTTGTAACGCGTCTCCATAAAGTTTTTTTATGACCATTCTGAGAAAACCGTCATTCAAGGATGAAGCACGCCTGAGACAGAATCTGCAGGCAGCCTTTATTACGATGTACTTCCGGTGTGACCTGGGCTTCATGTTCTTTGCATTTCCGAATTATGCAGCCGCGAAGTTATATTCCTTGCACTTTAGATTTCCCCTTAAAACTCTTGAGTTCTCCGAAGGTCTTTGCACAAAATAAGCTACGTTTTTTTTTTCTCTGCACGCTGGGTCATTCTAGCGTTCTTTTATTATTCCATTGTGAAAAGTTGCAACACTTCCCGACGACAAATCTTTCCGCGAAAACCTCATATTTCTTTATATCTTTACATACATGCACTACCCCTCTAACTTGGCAGCATAGTAGCACTGGGTTTTACAATCAAAATATAAAAGTACAAAAAACAAATGTTTTAGCTCGATAAAAAAAAAAGGAATATGCTCTAATGAAGGTAGTCAAAAGCATTTCAGAAAGTCGCTTCCCAATCTGCATGACATAAATGTTTTGAGGAGAAACCCGTTGTAAGCAAATATATCCACGTAATGGGGAAAAATATTTATAAACGGTACAAAAAGAAAGCATCACTTGTCATTGTTGAGAATATAAATACATTCTTTTGGATCTAAGGCAAGCATGCGTTTTTAATGCGCCTCTTTTTCCGAGGGCACTGCACACAGCGGAGCTAACTCGAATTATGAATGGTGTTTTCAGCAGCTTTATAATACTCGTTCCAGAGTTAATAGGTCAAAATTATCGAACGGATATGTCTACTGCATCCTTCGAGAAAAACAACTCGTTGGCACATCAAAAAGTAAAGGATGGTTTCTACTTTCGCGCCTGGCTCTGGGCCGAGACCGTTGTGATCTCAAGTGCCGCTGACGACTAGAGAGCGGCCAAAAGCCAGAGTAACTTCCTGGCACAGCTCTGCCATCCGACAGGAAGCCCTGGAT